TGTTTTGTTGAAAATATACTAAATCTATGTTATGGTTTGATCTGAAGAACAGCAGCATGCTGGTAAGTGTATTAACCGATCATTATTTCGTTGCAAATCTGCGCATTAACTAAATTTTACCAGAAGTGATAAATGGTGATAGGAACCAGACGTTAAACTCTCTAACACATTAACCGTTTCTGCTTATCCCTGGTATTGAAGTGACAAATCTGTTAAAATTGTATAATGACAGCCACATCTTAAGTAAAATGTATAATCATTAACTGCCGTTTTTGGTGCTGTTAACTGGCATATTCTTTTCGTACCTAATGTTTTGGTTTTTGCTTATTTTGATATATATATATATTAAAACTAAATTAATCATCAACTGTTTGCGTGAGTGGAGTTAGTCTTTAAAACATAATTAATGTGACGTCAATTTGGTAGCGCAATTTATTTGGACTGCGGTATTCTTAATGTATGGTTCATTTATATAAGTAAATTATGCTAAAGATATCTTTTAATTTATTACTTTAAAAATAAGTCCAAAATTTTGTAAATCAATTTATATGAAATTTATTATTCTTGTTATAGTAAGTAATTTAATATTTATATTATATAATGGAATGGTACTAATAGTACTAATATTTATGATAAATGGTTAATAGGTAAATCCAAAGCTATTAACGGCAGATGGCTAAAACGACTGTTATAAATTTCTTTGTAATACAACAAATTTAATATAAAATGAAGCTAAACTACTACTACTACTCCAAAATTTCAATATTAAATATATTCGTTAAAAACAGGTATTGAAAATAAGTTATTTCAAAAATTTAAAAAAAAAAAGCAGCAACAAAATATTGTCTACACTCATATTTAAGTATAGTATAGTTATTATTCTAACAACTTTTATCCTTAATACTCGTATTGTGTATATTATGTTCATCAAAAATAACTCTTACATTCTGCTCTTTAACTAAACTTTTTAATACATTTTGTATGAAATTACAAAAACAATTACTTTATATGAAAAATGCATTTTATATTTTCGTTTTTAAAAATATTCGGCAGAAAAGTGTGAATTATATTTTGTTTTCAAAAATAAGAGTTGTTCTTGATTTTTATATATATAAGAAAAAAATAACAATTATTTGTGCGTTTTCAAATAAAAAGCAGAGTTTTAAGAATTATTTCTGTGTGAAAAAATAAAAGGCATATAATAATAATTATTTTTGTTGAATATAATATAAAGCAAATTTAATTATAATTTTTTAAGTTTTATTTAAAAATGCGAATGATAAGAGTTATATTTATTTTTTAAATAATAAGAGTTGTTCTTGATTTCTATATTTATAAGACAAAAATATCATTTATTTGTGCATTCTCAAATAAAAAGCAGAGTTTCAAAAGTTATTTCTGTGTGAAAAATTAAAAGGTATATAATAATAATTATTTTTGTTGAATATAATATAAAGCAAATTTAATTATTATTTTTTGAGTTTTATTTTAAAATGCGAATGATAAGAGTTATAAGATGATATTTATTTTTTTTATGATAACTGTTAAGGTCTCTGGTTAAAAAGTATTTATTTCTTTAGCTTGAACGTAGAAGTTGGTGATTGTTAGTAATCTTAATGTTTATAGATTGAAGACCATAAGTTAGCTTTACGAGAAATTATTATTTTGAAATATATTATAGATTAAATAAGATTTTTAGTAAGAAAAAAAATTTTTTTTTGATCTTAAATTATTCGTTTTAACAAAATTTTTACAATTCGAAGTAATTGTTTATAGTTTTCTTTATTAACATCACTGTTAAGTGGGATCACTGTGAAGTGAGATCACTGTTAACAACATTTTATTTACTTATGTTATTTGTTTGTTTTCAACATAGGCTTTCATTGTTTTCTTCTCTCATTTTGTAATGTTTCGCATATTTATATTGTAACGCAACGCGATTTATTGAGGTTTTTTCTTTTTTCACAGATACTATATTAAAAAATTTCTACCTATTATTTAATTTTATTTTCAATGTTGCAAAACGCGGTTAAATGAATAGAGCGCGACAGGTGCGCGGCTTACTTTTTGCCGCGTTCGCATTTTCTCTTTTCTTCGCTTGATTATGAACGCTGTTTTGCAAAATATTTTAGTGATAAACACTTTTTGCTAAGACTTTTGTGATTCAGCAAGATCTTTTCAATATTACTTAAGTAGTTTTTGTTATTAAACAAGATACTTGCAAATAATACGTAATAACATCAAGGAATTTTCAATTTCAAAATTAGAGTATCTAACCAATAAGGTTAAGAAATAATTCTACATATTAATGAATATTTATTTTCATTGAATTAAAAGCTTTAAAGGAATAATAATTTTCTATGTTGAATTAATTAATTTATGCAAAAATGAAACAACACCATTTAATTGAGATTATGAAATCGCAAATTCGCGTTCCAAAAACACCAAAACTTCAAAACAACAGTTTGAGTTCAAGTTCAGTTCAGTTGCAAATTATTCAAGTATTTCGAAAGTATAAATCAATTTATATTGTGTCTTAATATTAAATTCAAAATAAAAAAAAAAATAATTTACGAAAATGACAATGTTTGCATAATCGTTGCCTATGCACTTGCCAAATAATTCCTTAAATTATATGTAATTTTGCAAAAATGAATAATTAATGTATAGTTTCAATTGAACCTGCAAGTCCACAAACCATAAAACAGATATTGTTTACTTTGATTGCAACATCGATTTTACTTTACGTAACGCATTTTTAGTCTTACGGAACTTAGATTTGATATTTTTGTAGGATTAATAGCTAATGCCCATGTTGCAGCACAAATCATTTAATTCATTTTCCTGTCAAGCACTGCTTTATACCATTTTTTCCTAACAAAATGTTCCTATCCTCTAAGATATATCTTCCAAGATTTACTATTTTGTCTAAATAATAAGACCGATTAAGTTGTCCGGACAAGTAACCTACCAACAACCTTAGCACTGTTATTTTTTCATTGCTATAATTTGTTAAGTAAGTAGTTATATATAACACTATCGAATACATAGGCAAATAGAAAATTGAACGTCTTAAACAACCCTCTTTTCATTTTTCTCTTAAATTAAGAAAACTATATAGACATATATCTATCTATTCATTGTTAATATATTATGACATAATTGAATAGTAAACAAAATAACCATCCATAAAGCATTTTATATAAAAGTCCGCTGGCATATTCAGCTTACATAGATGCCTTGACACAGGGACATCTCGAACAACTGTAGAGCAGACGAGCTTGCCAAAGCAGGTACTCTGAGATCTTGAGATTAAATTTTTTAGATATTGGCATCTCACTTGGTCTTGCGAGCAATCAAACAAAAGCATTTAAAACATAGAACATAAACAAAGTTGGGCAGATGAAGCCTTCTCTCAGAACTCAAGATCGACAAGAAACGTACCTTTTAACTGCTTTAACTAAAGTATAACCTACTGAGCACTACGGTATCCGTGTTGACAAAATCCTGCATATTAGGAAGACATGCAATGAGACTAGGTCTACCTTATAATGACTTTTGTCGTGGTTGTGGCTCTGCGTATTTTAGATGAGGTGAAAACTACACTCCACCTCATCTATCAGTATCCATCATTAGCTAGAAAACATTTAAATTTCAAGCTGTCCCTTTTTCGACCTGGTAGAAATATCATTCTGCAAAATGAAAGACTTGACGAAGCTTATAGGTTTGCCAGGTTGGTTAACTTTCATCTGAATGGGGTGTTGCTGGTACGCTGATCTCAGTCTGATCTAATCAACAGACTTAATCTAATATTAGTGTAGAATACGTAGTTAATAACGATACTGTAAACATTTTTTTATAATTATTATATATAGCCGGGATGATCTAACCTTACCTATATATCATTGAACTATTCACATTAGCCTTCTTCAATATATATAAATACTATTTTATATCTATTAACATATAATTAAATAGTTCAAAAATCAATGTTTTTTATATGAAATAGTAATTCAAGCTAAACCAGAATTAATTAAATTGTTAAAAAATGATAAACCTCAGTTACTAGTTACTCTTTTTGTATTTAGTTTAAAAATTTAAGTAAATCTAATTCTTGAAATCCTGAACAAAACTAAGGAACAACCAAATTTAGTCCACCCCGAGAAAGAAATAAAATAAGATTCGAAATTTCAGTGAAATTTATATAAGAAATACTTATATACAATAAGAAAAACTTTTAACAATTCAACACATGTCATGTTAAAATGTTATTTATAAAATAAAATAAAAATTTTAGATTTTCCTAAAGATATTGACATAAACCAACGAAATGGTAAATACTCGTATACAAAAATGCTATATATATATTCAAAAATTGTATATAATAATTCTTAAATTTAAATTTTTTCAAATTTTTCAAATTTATTAAGAATAAGTATGATATGATGAATAACAGTTCTTTATTTGAAAATTCACAGGAACCCTTTAAACAGTAAATACCTTAATTAACTACTTTATTAACCATAATTAAGTAAAATAGATAAAAATGTTTACAATGAATTGTAAAATTTTGCAATATTTTTTTCTCACAATTTATGAGATAAAAAACTTATGCAACTTTAAAAACTCCTACACAAACTGCATCAATCTTAATGCCAAAACTGAAAAACATCTTTTTAAAAAAAAAAATAAAAAATCACTAACCTTTGTCTCACAACAATTTTATGTGGACACGTAACTGTGTATTTACGCTATCCATTGTACCGCGCAAAGAAAGCAAACCTGTTGCTGAAGAAAGTATGTTATTATGTCGTATAAGCGCTCATAAATCACACTCCAATAAATAAAAATTTGCAATAATTAATTTTTACGTAACACAACTCTTGCAATACTCTCGTATCATTCACATCTTGTTATTACCAAAAATACTTAAACATAAAAAAAATATTTTTATACTTTTATTATAAACTATCTTCTTCTTCTTTGAATGTATCACTTTTAGGGCAGATCGCTTTCACCCAAACTCCACAGCTCAAAAGTAGTGAGCTCACGAGTTCAAAGGGACGACCTTTACCCTTACAAAAATTATCGCTTCACGAGAATCCAGTAATTCAGAATTACCTTCTTCCCGCTGCCTTGAAGCAAACTTCCATGCGATTAGCACGGACGAAGTTTTCCTTACTCATTAGTTTCAGGCACGAGTTCTATCGAGCAACTTCAAGTATATTAATATAAAATTAAAAGTAAACTCCATGAGAATTATCTGAAGCGATGTGTGTTAAATTTTATTGTGCACAAGCTTAAAATTAAAAGCTTTTGTGCAATAGTGGGGGAAAGCTTTTGTGTTGCAAGTAGAAAGCTTTTAAAAGCTTTAGCGTGTAATAAATAAAAAATAGTATTTTAGATGCTATTGATACTGGGTAATAATTGTGCAACAATTAAAATGATGATAATTGCAATTTTTATGCAATGAAGTTAATTATAAATAATTTAAAATTAAATATGATCACTAATAAGAATTAGAATAAGAATATAAAACAAAATTAGTTTTTTAATGGCCAGAATATTAAAGTGATACAATCACATGAAGATATATAGTAATTATTTATAATTTTAAGCAATTATTTTATATTTTATTTTTTTTTTGCAAAAACATTTACTTTCAATTAAAGTGTTAATTAGAAAGTAATTACTAGTGTTTCAAATGATGTGCTTTACTTTTAATAATAATAGTAATTAATGTCTATGTAGCAGGTGTAATTAAATGTTTTCGGTCTGATATATGGGAACATATTATTTTAGAAAAGATTTAACTTTACCATGATTTATTTTTTATCCCTTAAGTACCAATCATTACTTTTTAGTAACAGTAGTAAAGTCTATATAACAGATGTATATATAGAATATAGAAGGTGTAATTAAATGTTTTCGGTCTGATATATGGGAACATATTATTTTAGAAAAGATTTAACTTTACCATGATTTATTTTTTATCTCTTAAGTACCAATCATTACTTTTTAGTAACAGTAGTAATGTCTATATAACAGACGTATATATAGAATAATAAAATAATATATATGCAAAATATAGCATAATATATATATAAAATATAGAACAATGTATATATAATATGTAGAATAATATATATATAATATATGGAATAATATATATATGATGTATAAAATAATATATAGGCATGTTACTTTCTGAAAGATTCAACTTTATTATTATTTCTCTTTAACGACCCAATTGTTACTTTTTAATAATAGTAGTAAATTTATATATAAGGATAATAAGCATTATATAGGATAATACACGAATACACAATTTTCGGAAAAATTCAGATTTGTTATTTAGGTAATTAGCTCTTTGAAACATTAACGACCTATCGTTACTTTTTGATAATAATAGTAATGTCTATATAACAGGTCTTATATAGTAATAAGATAATACACAAGCATACTATTTTGGGAAAGATAAAGCATACCTAAATAGACAATGTTCTTAAGTTAATGGAATGTACAATTTTAGAGATATTAAGAGTTTTTTTTAACTCATTTTTTAAACAGTTTTTGTTTTTCATTTTTATTTTGGGTGTAATTACATTCGACATATTTATCTCGTTAAATATTTAACATGAGGTACATATATACCTACATATATCAGCATATAAACGAAATTTTTTGTTTCTTAGACCAAACAATCGCCTAGTGAAGTTAAGGTAGTTTAGTACGTAACATTCTGTATATTTTAATTCAATCATTAATTAATAAATTTCAAGCAAAAGTGATTTTAACAATTTTATATATACGAATTTTATTGCTTATAATAACAGTGATAAGACAAATCACAAATATGTTAATAAATAATTTATTAGTAATTACGTAACTTGTTTTTTGTATAATAAAAATAATAAAAAATTTTATTAAACAAATCTACTGATTGTTATACTAATTATAACCGTAGTGATGCTGTTATCAATAGCTATTATCTTTTAATATACAGCTCAGAAGGTTGATTAATTAATACTTAGAAATAGGTTTATTTTCAATAAGATGACATTAATTATATTTTGTATTCTAACTAAATATAGGCATTTTAGAATTATCATTTACAAACTTTAATAAATCAATAGGTCAATAAAGGAGTACACAGAAACATCCAACAATATTTTTACGATTTTAAAATAATTTTTCAAATGTTTATTAGGATATAATATCTGCTAGATAAAGAGATATAGCATATATTTCCAAGTCTGAGTTCTGTAAGTTTTGTATTATTCAAAAAATATAATACTGACTATATTACACTACTACACAATGTACCTCATTTCAATATTTCTGAAATTAAATTTTGGAGAAAAGTCGTATTAAAATAATTTTCTTTTTGATAATATCTCTTAGGATCTATGTAATCCTAAATGTAAACAAAAAATATTTTTTAAAAAATATTTATTATTTTAATGAGATAACCTCACATTTTTTTAATAGAGATATTAATTAAATTTTAAAGATATAATTTTGTATACCTAGTGTTCGAAATGTATAAGTAAGCAAATTCGTAACACTGTACTATACTATCATATGCGTATAGATCTGTTAGCCATCGTCTTCATATCATTTTGACCGACCTGCAAACAACGTAAACTTCGCCAATATCAAGTAAATCATGGTATGGCTCTTAAAAAGTTGCCTCAAAAAAGTGATATTAGAGGATATATGGATATTTCATTTGACTCCATGCATAACATCGAAAGTGTTCAATTTAATTTAAAAAAAAACGTCGAGAACAGATTACGAAAGTTCTTCTAGCTATTTCGGATCCTACCTTTATAAAACGCATAACTGGCAATGGGTCTACGAATTCGACGTGTAAACGAGTCAGCAATCTATAGAATAAACTTTAAAAATCAAATCAAACACTAAAACTTGCGTCGAATTTTACGAATTTTTTTTATTATCGTGCTGTGATTCTCACTGTATTCCTTACAGTGGAACAAACGGTGAATTAGCAAAACTATTTGGGGTCTTGAGGCATTTGATGCACCATTTGAATGCACCATTCTACAAATACATTACTGTGCCTGAATTTTCAGGAAAAAAATCAATGAAGCTTGTTGATCAAGCATCGTACTGATCTGACACCTTAAATTTATCGCCTGGCTAATTAGATTTTGACTAGACATAGTAAGCAATAATTGTTACCATGTCTTTACTGTTGTTCTTGAGTTATATATATATATAGCATATATTTCTAGTGTATATATATATATACATTGAAAAGAAGGGATCGTGCACTGCGACCTAAAAGATCTATTATGCCCATATACATACATAGTATGCTATAATTTTTAATATTTCGGAATTTAAATTTTCTGAACCCCCAGAACTAACGTTTTTCTGCATTTTATCTCAAATAGTATATAGTATACATGTTTTTTAACATTTATGAAAATAGTTCCGGTAGGTAGATTATTGCAAATATTACCAACAATTAGCATCGTCGGGTGTTGACCCTGCTTAAAAGTTAAGTGATAAGAATTATTTTACTTGCTAATAAATAATGCAAAATATATTGTCTAAAACACAAAAATATGTTTACTTTGGTATAAGCAAATATGTATTTAAATTGTTATTTTCATTTGGCGTAATGAGATTTGAAGGGTTAAATGAAAAACAAACAATCTTTCGATTGTTTTAAAATTCTAAGTGAATTGCATCGACGTAAATGAAATGCACAATGTTTCAAACAAAATTAATAGTGTTGTAAATTTAAAATTTTTTGTGATTAGTAACTAAAATTTTATGTGAGTCACCTTCGCAACACTATGAAAAAAATGCAGGTGGTAGATAGGTAGGTTGATTTCTACAAATGGTCAAACAAAATGTCGACAACAATAAAAAAATGTTATCAAGAAATATGTTGGCGCGCTCACAAAAAGTACTATACTTGCATATCTATCTATAATAGTAAAAATAGTATATGGAACACCTGATATCACATGTGTTCCATAAACGTTAGATAGCAGCGAGTATTTATACATACGTTAGATACGTATGTATATCATTTATATTTTTATCAACAAAACTCAATAAAAATTAAAATTTAGAAAACTAAACTCTGATCCCACCTGCGTACTACTAGGATAGAGGCGCGCGTACTATCACCTTATCAGTTCGGGAACATAAGCTAGTTTCTGCGATAATTTTATGGTTAAGCATTTCCAATTAAATTTATTTTAAATTAAAATTATTTTCACTATAATTTTATTTAATTTTTTTTTCAAGTCTAGCAATTAGCAATTTTGATAAGAATTCGATTTATGATAATTGTTTAGTTTCGATTTATGTTTATAACATTTCGAATGAAAGATCTGAGTGTTAAAAATTGTTTACAGATGCAATAAAGTTTGGCTTTAATAGCGCTGATAACCTTTAATATTTTTTGAGTTATTCGCGTTGCTCATACGCAACCTGGCAACATTCTATCTACCATAGTGCGCCAGCCACGTTCTTTCTATTCATAAACAAATTCATTAGGGGTTATCTATCCTAATCGAGTTTGACATTCCTGTAGTATTAACATTTAACTAAAATTGTTATTTACTTTAATTAAGACGGGCACATGCTGTGATTTTAATTAAAATATTTCAATAAAAAAAAATGTTTAATTAAAACTTTAGTCAGAGAAATGAGATTGTACTACTAAATAGGAAAAAATACACAATTTAGAAGTATGTGTTCTTATTAAAATTCTAATAAATTTTATTGTAATTAAAAAACATGAATATGTAAAAATTATAATTGAAATTAAACATTTTATAATGGCTGTACATACAATGAAACTTCAGTTACCTCCAATACTTAGTAATTACTGTACAACTTAATTAATTTTGTTTAAATTTTTGAATTACCATTTCTATGTAGGGCAATAAAAAATGTATTTATTAGGCACGTGTGATTTTTTATAGTAATTCATTTAAATATAAATTTTACAATATACTATATAAATTAAAACAGTTGTATTAAAATAAATGAAATTTATTCAAATTATAATTTGTCTTTAAAAGAAAATAATCATCAGTTGATCGAATACCAAAAGGTTTTAAATTATGTATCTACTATTTATGTGTAATTTTTTTATATTTTATTTCAATATAAACTTTGCAGTATGCTATAAAAATTTAAAGAAATATATTAAAATTAATGATATTTATTCAAATAATAATTTATCTCCAATAAAAATGTTGACTAGTTGATAAAAAATCGTAAGAGTAAAAGACCGCCTTTAAAAAATTTCTTATTGAATGCAGTAAACCACAAGACAATGTATAATCTGCAACGGCCTTGCAACAACAAGACCCAGACTTGACTGTCTTGGTACTTGACTAATAGGTAAAATTAAGCCTACAGCAATTACAAGATTTATAAATAGTCTAGAATTGTTTTAGTTGTTTAGTTGTGCTTTTAGGCGCACTATATATCTGGGTCGGGGTGCATTCATAGCCTATTATTTAATAATAAATTGTATACATGTACAGAGTTTTTGGACTCAATTCTACTATTGAAGCTCTTTATATGAGATTAAGAGTTGATTTTAAAGTAGAAATGAAGCAAATAGTTTGGAAAATCAAATCTACAAAAAGTTGATTTTTAATTTAGTTTTTTTGGCTGACCACTCAGCTACCGGATCTATATATGTGGCTTCATAACATGACTAAGATGACTAAAAGTTTACATTTCAACGTTGACATGACCCTTTAATGACAAGGATTAAAATTTGATACGCAAATTTGCAGTGATTATATTAATAGCAAAGGTGCTACCCAAATGAGGTAAAAACTCTGAATAGGGTGGATTAAGTCGATGATTAGATCTATAATGGAGTGCTGGAAGATTCTATATATTACAAGACCCTAACGAATCCACTGTATTACCAGATTTGCCTTCATTTAATTTTATTTATTTTCGAATTTTAAAAATGGATTCATAATAAGAAATTTCAATCCGATTTGAATGTAAATTCTGAAAGCAATAAGTATTTTCTATACAAAATATTTTTTAGAAAGTATAAAAAATTGGAATAATAATCTAATATTAAGTAGACCAGATCAGCTCAACTATATCCAAGCCTCATAATTTATATGAAACTGTACTCAAAACATTAGTTAAAAGCATTTATTTTTATTTTAAACTGTGAACAGTAAATGATATTGAATAATTTTCCATTAATTAAATTTACTGTTACATAATCTTTATATATTAATTCCGTCTGATCAATGATCGTATAATTAAAAATTTTTTTACAATCAACACTTGCTTATTCAATAGTATATTATTACAGAATGGTATTATTATTACCCCGTTTTCTAATTACAATTTCAAATTTTGAACTTAGCAAACTTACAAATAAATTTCATTCAACTGTTACATGTGTTATTTGTTATTGAGGATGTCTTTCCCCTTAACAACTTCATTTTTACAATAACGAGTATTAAATCATTTTATTTATGTAGATCTAATTTGTTAAGATCGTTCTATATAAGTTTTAATTTATTATTTATATATACAAAATTAAATAATAAATTAATTCTTCTCATATACATATATTGTATGCAGCATTTACAAATCTGAGCCATTTGTATATTCCGACCCAAATGTTGTTGATTAAAAGCAATTCATGAACAAGATAGATACATAAAAATATAGCAATTTACTTAACCATATAGTTTAATAGGTAAATATTTAGTATCTCCTTGATTTTGAGATATCTATCACGTCACGCACTCGGTATTATTGCTTGTCTTGTATTTAGAAATGTATTGAAGAGAGATGAGAAACATAACGAATACATTTCGAGTAAGTGAATGTTTGAACCTAAAAGTCAGTCTAACATTTTAAGCTAGAAGCAGCAGGAATTGGTGTTGTGTTTCTTTTCATAAAATTTGAACTACTACACTACACACATGTAATTGTTTCAAATAAACATTTCTGTTAAGTTAAGAAAAGCAATTAAGTGCTTAGAATGAAGACAAGTTTACATCTGAAAAAACTTTTACATCTGAAAAAAACTGAAACGCCTGTAAAAAAATCCGCAGCGATTAAAATAAAATGAAACAAACAAACAAATAATCAATTATCACGGTCAAGATTTATAATTAATAAATTATACCCTATATAGATTATACATAAATTACAACCTATATACCTATATTATATATAAATTATAACCTATATACCCATATTATATATAAATTATAACATATAACAAGAGGAAAATTTTCACAATAGTCTTCTCTATACATTATAAATAATTATTCAGAAACTGAGTTACTACTCTTGTTATCTGTTTTTCTGTTATAATCATGCCATTCTTGATATAGCTTTTTTGTTGAACTCATATTGTACTAAAAGTCATATATTAACTAGAAGGGTTCGAACAGTAATGAAGAAATAGCAACTACAAAAATTTGATTAATTTATTGAAATTTAGCTGACCTAGCTGATTTTAGGAAATATTCGAATTTTTATTTAATTAGTTTATAATCCGTATATAATTGGTTGAACTGCAACCAGACTTAGAATTTATAAGACGCATCCCATTCGACAAAAAAAATCAACCTTAAAAGTCATATATATTGACTTTATATACCAATAAAAAAAGTATAAACAATACGGTTAACTAATTTTCCCAAAGATATATATATAAAGAAAACGCAGCATAACACTCATGAAAGTGGTTTCAATCATTTATCCAATTTTCACTTTAGAACCACGTGATCAGCCTATTCCGTAATTTAATTCTGTTACAGAACTTTGCAAGTATAGTCAGTTATATATAACTAACTATATATTACTAACTAAGTTATATATAACTAACTAAGTTATATATAACTAACTATACAGTACAGTTAGTTGCAAGTACAGTACAATTAGATATATACCTATATTGAGACAAATAGATTGGATAATATTTAAAGAATACTTTTTTTGTGAAACCAAGGATGACATCTTTGATTCATCAAGTTAATGTTTGTAGATTGGTAGGTTGTAGATTGGTGGCACAGCTGTATATTCTGGGCAGTAACGCATACGTGACGTTTCATTAATATTGTTAGTTTTAACCAATCTGAGTGGCTAACGAGGGAGTTTTTTTTTTCTGAGATCTATATTTAGGATGTCCATTATACTCCTTAGTTCGTAGATTTCAACAGAATAATGTCTTAATCTTGCTAGGTCTGTGCATTTATTACAAAGTATTTAGTTTTTTTGTCTTTCCTTTTTCCGTCTAAGCTTGGATTTTTTGCAAACTAACATTTTACCTGCATTTTTTTCATCTAGGTTTAGACCTATAACTGCTAAGTTGCTCATTTTTTAATATCTTTATTTTATGCATTTCTTTAATTTGCTTAAAATTTATAAAAAATTCATTGTTAAGAGAAACTCTTTAAAATTCAATTCCTGCTTCATTAAAAGTTAATGTAGTGCTAATTTACTATATTGCATTATTTTATAATTACCATATTTAATTTAGAGTTTAATGTTAATTATTACTTCTAATAAATACGTAATCTATTCGCAATATTATATGATACGGAAATATTTGTATGTGGATGTTTAGCCGAAATAAAAAATTTTATTTAAAAAAATAACAACTTTAATTTCTTATATGCAATTTAAATTTAATTCGTTATTGGTAAATAAAATAATGTATACATAATATAAAAAAAAATTGTTAACTATGCAGATATAATATTTTCAACTTATATGTAATTGAAGTACTTACATGTTTTTTAATATATTTTAGATTTAAAAAAATAAATTCTTAATAATGCATTAATAACTCTTAACTTTCTAATATTAATAAACTATTAAATTCAAGTGAATTTTAAAATTCTGTCTATTTTAAAATTATTCTTTTATGTTAATTAGTCGCACTGCAGCAAAAATTAAATTAACGCAAAATGCATTTTTGCAATGTTAAACGTTTTCTATTAGAATTGTTAATTAGAAATTTGATTAGATAATACAATTTATACCTATATGATTCTTAAGCAACTGAATATGACACGCTTTCAAAAACTAATATATTATACATGCATATAAATTACTATAAAATGATTTATTGAAAAATGTTTATGCCTTAATATATATACATATATATTTTTATTATACTAAATAAATTGAATTATAAATTTAATTTAATATAAAATATATCATTTTTATTTACAGATTTCAATTGCGTGGTCCTCTTATAATATGGAACACGATGCTGGCCATGTTTAGTATTATGGGCGCGTTTAGAACAGCTCCAGAACTCTTACACGTACTGCGCCATTATGGACTATTTCATTCCGTATGCGTTCCTAGGTAAGAACACAATTCTATACACAGTATTCTTACTTATCTATCTGTACTTATCTAATAAATATGTTACATACTGGAGAAATTCCCTAAATGTTGTTAAACTGGCAACCGTCATGCATAATGCGGCTAACAAAAACATTAGGTTTTTTTGAGAGTCGGCCAGTCAGGAAAAATATATATGAGTAGATACTATAAAGTAGATAACATAAATAGAAATTCAGTTGTACAATCAACAAGTGAAACTTCTTTGAGGTTTTAGAATTGAGTCAAAATTACATCTACAACGGTTTTTAACTTCTATATATTGCTAAACATTTCAATTCAGTATATTTTCTTCTCTGAATTAATGGCCACATGAATATCACAAGCAATTACGCTCGACAGACAGAAAACTTTAGAAACATACTCATAATATCTAAATAATCGAGGAGTACCACTAGCATTATACAAATAACTAATACAACCTTTTCGTATAGAGTAATTAAATACGATATGGAAAGATTTACCTATAATAAACATCTGAGTAAAGTATTTTCAGCCTGCTTGGAACTTATATCCTAAGGGTTTTAGTCAGTTACAGGACTTTTTATTAAAAATCATTTCAGACTTTAATAAGTATTCCACTTATTTACAAACTTTTCTATAAGGTAACAGAATGAGCAAATATGTCTAAATGAATCCAATTCATATTTTGATAGGTCTTAGTTCTTAAAAGTTCTTAGTCAGTTAGTTAAATACGATATAGAAAGATTTACCTATAACAAACATCTGAGTAAAGTATTTTCAGTCTGCTTGGAACTTATTTACTAGGGGGTTTTAGTCAGTTACAGGACGTTTTATTAAATATCATTTCAGACTATATTAAATATTCCACTTAGTTACAAACTTTTCTATAAGGCAACAGAATGAGCAAATATGCCTAAATGAATCCAATTCATATTTTGATAGGTCTTAGTTGCTAAGAGATCTTAGTCAGTTACAGAACTTTTTATTAAAAATCATTTCAGACTTTATTAAATATCACATCCAGATAAGGTAACAGAATGAGCAAATATTTCTAAATAGATCACATTTAAATTTTAAAGGATTATTTCTTTTAAATAAAGTATCAACTATGCAATGTCAACCCAAAATAACTCATCTCATTAAATGGCAATGGGACATTTCGATTGTAATAAATGTGCGTTTTGGGGACCTACTATAATCATATTAAGCTATCGATTGCAAAGTTCTTATTTTTTCTGTCCAAACTATATTATGTAAAAACGTTTAATATAGATGGTAACGTTCAACTGATTTCAACCTTAAATGTTCTCCTTCTGAGATATAACAACTGCTTTGAATAGACGTTAGTGATATATCAAACCGTTAATTATTATACGACAATATATCGTTTGTCTATCATTTCGTCTAAATATATGTAGACTATCAAATAGCATATTTATAATCTTAGCGTAAAGAAAAAACTCGACCTTTGTGATACGATCGAACAACATTATTCAGTGGAGTTCCAAAGTAAACATAAACAATCTAGGTAAAAATTTAATTTTTGAGTGGTGTACGGTGTACAAAAACATTAATCAAATATAAACGTAGGAAAATACTGTTCTAATCCCTTCATTTTAATATTGAATCGTGCAACTCATTGTACTATATATACTTACGAGTATGTATAATATGTGATTTTCAAAACTATTACGACTATTAAGCATTCATAATCCATCCTGTGCACTTTTAAAGTTGTTATTTAAGTTGTTTTGCATTATAGAAACATAAAAAAAAATTTTTTTAATGAATAAAAAATACATTTCAATTTAGTACAAAATAATATAAATTTTATACGTGTTTTTATTACTTATTTATTACTTACAGTGTAGATTTCAGACAAACAATAAAATCTAGAATTGCCATTTAAATAATGGAATTTTATTTGAAATTTTCCTTCAGTATAATTGGAACTAGTTATTTTACTAAAATCTACTTAACCTTGACCATGTCATTGATTATTAAATGGTTACAGTTGCATTTTAGTATTTCAAGATACTTCACAGCTCTGCTAAAAGCTTCCTGAGAAATCGGTTTGACTAGTTTTAGTTGCCACTTCTGGGTTATATGGTATATTTAATTTTTTACTTTTTTTTTTTTGTTTGTTTTGTTTTATTGGCCAAAACAATTTTGCAAATTTTTACGGAGCTTATAAACTTGGTTTGTTGAACTTTGATTTTTGTAAAAAATTAACTTTCAAATTTTTTTTTTGTAAAGACTATGAGTCGTTTGTAAAAAAGCTGCTAAAGTTCAGTTTTTGTCATACATTTTATTTGATTGGATTTTGGCAGAGACTCTCAACTGGTTTCGAATTTAAATAAATGATCAGTGCCGCTATTAATAAATTAAAAAAAAAAATAATAATGAAGTATAAAAAACATACGAAACTACACGTTTCTTCTATTATACTAAATCGAAATAATCAGCTTAAACACTTATGTTGAAAAATAATGATATTTATGTTATGGTAATTAAGCAATATCTCTTCGAACTTAGATTAGATTTTAAGATGGGTTGGAAACCTGTCATTACGTCACTGCATCCTTTAACGATTATTGTGACATATCCACTTCAGTTCCATAGACAAGTAGTTAAAAACGCCATTATGTTCTTTGGAGAAGCGTTGCCGAATTCCATTATAAATGGATAGGCAGTGGATAAGTACCGAAGTCTGAGTCTGGCGAGACTATCACAGTGACACAGAATGTGTTCTGCTGTTTCCTCTGCTTCTCAACATAATCTGCAGCTATCGTCTCTAGTAATACCTAGGTTCAATAAATGATTTTTAATCAATTTAATATATTATATGACCTCTTATTACCTAATTTTTTTATTTATTTTATATATATACCATATACTTTTATATCATATATACCATATTTTAATATATATCTGCTTTTTATCTCATTTCAGTTATATTGAACAGGATCGCGTATGTGGTTTCTGGACTTGGCTCTTTGTACTTTCCAAACTGCCTGAACTTGGTGATACAATTTTCATAGTATTACGCAAACAACCATTGATATTCCTACACTGGTATCATCACATCACTGTACTCATCTATTCATGGTTCTCATACACTGAATACACATCATCCGCTCGCTGGTTCATTGTGATGAATTATTGTGTACATTCCGTTATGTACACGTACTATGCACTTAAAGCAGCACGCTTCAACCCACCACGTTTTATCGCTATGATCATAACATCACTACAGTTGACACAAATGATAGTTGGCTGTGCTATAAACATATGGGCGAACGGTTTCCTAAAAACACACGGTCCACAATCATGTAATATCTCACAAACTAACATCAATCTTTCGATTGCAATGTACTTCAGTTACTTTGTGCTATTCGCACGATTCTTCTATAAAACATATTTGTCCACGGACGGCAAGAAGAGCCGTCGCATGGCAGCATCATTAGCGGCACAAAACACAGCCAAACTATCATCTACAGCTACCTCTTCAATAGATCGCTCCACACTGACGTTACCCACTGCAAATGGCGGCGGAGATGTACTTTTGCACAAATCAAAAGTGCAATAGAAAATTTTGGGGAATAAGAGAACAAATGGGGGGCGAACTATCAATATATGGGATAAAAAAAAAATCTAACTAACAATAGTGAAATAAAAATTTGTTCACTAAATACGAAGAAAAAAATATAAAAAATATAATAAGAACACATATTGAAAAAATCCGTGGCAAGTCTCAAAAAACAACTGAAAAAAAAAAAAACAAAATGGACTCAAAGAAAATAAAACTACTAGACAACTTTCCAGAACTCGTTTTAAAATTTACTTTTCTTATATATAAATAATTTTTTGTCATTGTTTTAAAAAATTTATTAATATTGTTTATATTATTTATTTGCTATGCAAAAATTTATTTTTTTTATTATTGTTTACTTTGAGCTTGTTTATTTTTTTATAAATAATTTGTTATTAATTATAATATATGTGAATTGCTGTAATATATTGTTCTTATTGCTTAATTTGTTTTTTAAATGGAGTGTAGATTGTTTTTTAAAAACAGTTTTTTCTAAGAAAAATGCACTCAAAAAATTAAAGTGAACCTATGTTTATTTTTTTTTTATAAATAATTTTTATATAATTATATAAAAACTCTGGTCGTGTATTTTTTACTTTTTTAATTTAATGCTTAATTTTATTTTTTTATTTTTATTTGGGTAATTATATATTAATTAATTTTACCTTAATATAATTACGTAAACACATACATTATAATACGCTAGTTTTTATATATTTATACTTGTATTTGGTATTTGTACATATTATTTAATATGTTTGATAATTGTTTTTATTTTTATTACTATTATTTATTAAATGCAAAATAATTTCTCTTGAAATAAAAAATTAAATACATATAAAAACATCAATTTGTTTAATATTTTATAATAAAAAACGATTAGAACTAGTATGTTACAAAAAGTTTTTTTTTTAAATCATAAACAAAAGCTATATAATTTTTCTTAGTTTAGAAAATTATAAAAAACTATTCTTAATGCGTTTATATCGTAAACATTTTATAAGCATAATTATTTAAATTGAAATAAAATTTTTTTTAGTTTAAATAATTATTTTAATGATTTGACTATGATTGTTTTAAACGTCAACGTTTTAAAAAAATACGTTATTTAACATTAAGTATGACAACTGATTTTATAAAAACGTTCTCGTTATGTATGCTAATCGTTTATATGTACATAATTATATATATTTACCATTAAAGCATAACGATATATGATAAACACATTGTATGAAGTAAGTTCTCGACACTTGATTTCATGAATTATATTTTTATAAGTGCTTATTGCGCCTTATTCACCCCCTGCTCTATCGATTCAGAAGAAAGTTAAATTTATATCATGACAATTTTTAAGCACTAAAATATTTATTGTTTTATTTAAATGTATAAGGGAAGGACAAGCACCTAGCTAATTATGGACCTGAAATATGACATGATTGGATAGTGAACAAAAGTATAGTCGAACTAGCAATTTATATCAGACACCCATTCCCATGTATATTTCCTACTTCGGGGTAGGGGAATGACTATTATTAATTTATATTTACAATGTTTTATATATTTGTGTACTAGCTAATTGCTCACTGTTAAAAAATACACAACTTTTTTAAATTAGATTTAAAAAAATTTTATTCTTACCGATATTTTTAGAATAATGTCATCTTCGAAGTACTGATAAAATATTTTTAAAACTAATACTAATACTTGACTAATTAGCCTATAAAAAAATATATAAATAAAATTCAGTTAATAAAATAATAAATTAAAGATTTTTATTAAATTTAAATACTCAAATTTGAGCTTTTAAGATGAAGTCTTTCATCTTTAACCATTTCAAGATTATGATTAGAAGTAGGGAATAGGAATATTATTCGTATTAGAGAATTAAAAAGTTATAGTAAAAATTCTTACTCTCAATTATTATAAATATTATTTTATAATATAATTTATCATAAAAATACGTAATTGTTTATAATAATTAGAAACTTTAATATAAGTATCCCATAGAGGATTTCCACATATGTAAAAAAACAAGGTAATAATACCAAGCCTAAGAACTTCTTCTTGATCAAGGAATGTTTCTAAAAATAATTTTAACGAAAATGATCAAATTAAGATAAACGTCTTTATATTATTTATGAATTATTGGAGAATTATAAAGAATAATTAAATATGAATATCTTTGATATTTGCTACACTTTAGCATGTTAAAATATTTTTCCTCATATTAAGCGTCAATGATTCTACGGAAATATAATTAATTAGACGCCACATTAAAACGATTTCGCTGCATTTGTTTACTTTAATAAATATTAAATAAATCAATTAATTATTAACTCTTTAATAACCAATATAATTACACTTATATATTACTTCTTGAAGTATTTGTTTCCGAATAAAATTATGACTTAGAATTGGGAAGTAAAAGAGTCTTAATATTTATACTTTTATATGCCAAAAGCAGTCCCAATAACTAATATAGCTCACCCATACTACCACTACAACACAGGCCCTCACAATGCAAATTTTAATTGGATGATTCTGGCAGTGTCTCAGGTATTAGAGTAAAAATTTAAACAAAATAATAGAAAAATCCCATTATTGTTTTAAAAAATAACGTCAGGTATTTCGAGCAATATTTTCCACTGTGCTCTACACCGATATAATTCACTTCTTGAGATATCGAGATATAATGTTGTGAACTGTATCCATGCAGTCGTTGTTTACATTATTAAAACAAGCACTAGCCACATAGTGCCAACTAGTATGCGCAACTTTTATATTATTTATTAATTTATTAATATATAAATAAATAAATATATTATTCCTATAAACAAGTAACAACAAGTTCACAATGACAAGGACTACAAGGTTTCTTAAAAAACCTTTTATCCGATTTCTTAAAAACTAAACTATTGAAATACAGCGTTGTGTTTAAAATAACATAAATGACTTTCTTCCTTTTTTTTCCAGAAAATCGTGGCTCTATTTTCGTTTGCCAATTTTTTTTGTTCCGGCGGTGGCCTGAGTTATGCTTGTGGGTTATAATTTCTAATGTTTTGGTCATCTTTTTTTAAGGGCTAAGTAGAACAAGGTACTTATAATTCCATAACTCCATGTTGTCGTTGAGATATACATCATTTTATTTTTATGCAGAGATAATTGGAGATCATAATATTTGATTACAAAATAAATAGGGTTTACCAGCTGTTATAAGTCTATTCTAATTTAAATTCTGGTATTGATAAGTATACCTATCATATATATTTTCAAAATATTAAAATTGTTTTACATATGGGATATGTGATGTCTAATATAGATCAATACGAATACTTAAAATCAAGCATTAATAATTACTTTAATTATGTCTATAATTCGTCTCATCCTTTAAATTTCAATAAAGTTTTTATTATGCCTATATAATAATTTATTAGCGGGCTAATTGGTCATTTAAATAAAAATAAAAAAATCTTCAGTTTCCCTGAAGATGAATATCGAAGATAGTCGAAATATTGGAAAAATATTTTAATAAAATATATATTTTTTTTAAATATAAATAATAAATTATAGTTTTTTTATTTCTATTTAAATGAGCAATTAAGCCGCTGATAAATTATTATATAATATTTTTGGTCACAAATAAAAGAATATTATGGCTATATATGTATATATCTAAAGTGTTCTACTTCAGAACATTTTTTTCTATAGCTCATATTGAAATTCAATTTAAAATTTCGAAACAAATTGTTTTTTATGAAAAAATGTTTTACAAATTATATTTAAAAAAATTTAATATAAAAAGGATAATTTAAAAATTAAATAGCAAATAACTTCCGATTTGAACTCAATATAAATTTGATAAAATCCCAGTAGTAATGCATTAATTATATAAACTTACACAAAATTTTACAAATTTTTTTATGAGAATATTATTTTTATTATACAAAATTAATTCATTATACATTTTTTTCCTTTTATAAAGTATTAATTATTTCTAAATTATCATCAACCTATATATTAATTTTCTCAATTTAACTCTTATACGAGATACATGTACTGGTATATATATATTTGTGCGGAAAATCTTTATATCTTTATATAGTAAGACAACTCCATACATTGACTATTAGGAAATAATAAATCTATTCTTTATTTGTAAAACTTAGTTGTGGGTACTTGTAACCCATTGTGGGAGAATTAAGAGGTACTTATACGAGATACATGTACTCGTATATATCTTTGTACGGAGAATCTTTATATATAGTAAGACATCTACATATGTTGACTATTAGGAAATAATAAAACTGTAAGTTAATTATACAACAATTATTTTTAATTTATACTTATTAATATAACTTCTTTCAGTTATAATATATACGTGTTGATGTATCAATTTCCTTTATTTGATTTATGACTCAGAAAGACTCACCTCTTTTAATAATATATTGTTATAAGAGATTTAATAAGATATTTTATAATCGCATATATGCAATTTTAAAATTGCTAAATATGTAATTAAGTTAAAAAAAAAACTTTTTGTAACTGGTTTATAGATTATCTTATATAAAAACGAAAGTATACTGGAGGGCATTTGTTTTATAAAGCATTTCATTATATAAGCATTATTAAAATAGAACTGTTTTTATCAATTCTTTTTTTATTAATCAATTTTAATTACTATTAATTGTGTTCATAAACAAAACCACAAACAAATTATTTTCAATTTAATTTTTCTTTTATAATAACAAATTAATATATAATAGAATTTATTTTTATATATATTGACTCGGAATAATTAAAAATATATTTGAAATAAAAATTTTTTTAGAAAAATAAACCATGAAGATAAGCATTAACATGTAAAATGTTGTAATTAGTTATTATTTATTAACAAAAATTCTTGAATTTTATTAAAAACTATTTATTAATTGATTAAAAATCATTTAATAAAAAATTTTCAAAGTAAGTCAAATTGTATAATTAATAAAATTAAATATTATAAATTTATGTTCAGAATAAACGTTTTTTATCCATTATCGACTGTTGGAGAATTATCTTTAT